TTTAAGGCCAACGATTAGACTTGAAAAAAATTAAAAATTGTTTTTTCAAAAGGACCAAAGGACCTTTAAATTTTTTTTTAACAATTTTTTTCCCAATCTTAGTCCTTAAAAATACATTCTTTAAGGGATCAACAAAAGTGAATTTTTTAAATTTTTTTCCAAAGGACCAAAGAACTTTTAATTATTGTTTTTAAAAAAAAAAACAATTATTTTTCAAAATCTTGGCCCTGAAAAAATATATTCTTCAAGGGACCAACAAACGAGAATTTTATAATTTTTTTTTAAAGTCCAACGTTTAGGCTTTAAAGAAATTAAACATTTTTTCAAAAGGACCAAAGGACCTTTAAACTATTATTTTTTTATATAAAATCATTTTTTTAAACTTAGTTCTTAAAAATACATTTTTTAAGGAATCAACAAAAGTGAATTTTATAAAAATGTTTTCCAAAGGACTAACGCAACTTTAAAAAAATAAAAACGTTTTTTTTTTTTTCAAAAGGACCAAAGGAACTTTAAATTTAAATTTTTTAAATCTTAGTCCTTAAAAATACATTATTTCAGGGATCAACAAAAGTGAATTTTATATTTTTTTTCAAAGGACGAAAGGACCTTTAAATTCTTTTTTTTAATCTTTTAAAAATCGTTTTTTTTAATCTTAGGCCTTAAAAATATATTCTTCATGGGATTAACAGAAGCAAATTCTGGAACAATTTTTTTTAAAGGGCCAAAGGACATTTAAATTCTTGTTTTTTAATAAAAACTTTTTTTTTTTTTGATAAATCTTAGTCCTTAAAATACATTCTTTAAGGGTTCAATAAAAGTGAATTTTATAATTTTTTCCAAAGTACCAAGACAATATTTATTTTTCAAAATCTTGGCCTTTAAAAATATATTCTTCAAGGGACCAACAAAAAGGAATTTTATGAAATTTTTTTAAAGAACCAACGTTTAGACTTTAAAAAATAAAAACTTTTTTTCAAAAGGATCAAACTACCTATAATGTCCTTTTTTAATCAAAAGACAATTTTTTGAAATCTTAGTCCTTAAAAATACATTTTTTAATTTATCAACAAAAGTGAATTTTATAATTTTTTTTTTCCAAAGGACCAAAAGACTTTTATATTCTTTTATTTTAGTAAAATCATTTTTTTAAATCTTAGTCCTTAAAAATATATTCTTCAAGGGTCCACTTTTGCATTTTATAACAATTTTTTTTAAAGGACTTTTTTTTCAAAAGGACCTAATGACCTTTAAATTCGTTTTTAATCAAAACACAATTTTTTTGATATCTTAGTCCTTAAAAATACATTCTTTAAATTATCAACAAAAGTGAATTTTTTAAAAATTTTTTCCATAGGACTTTTAATTTTTTTTAAATAAAAACAATATTTTTTTTTTTCAAAATCTTACCCCTTAAAAATATATTCTTCAAGGGACCAACATAATTGAATTTTATAACAATTTTTTTAAAGAACCAGCGTTTAGACTTGAAAAAAATTAAAAATTGTTTTTCCAAAGGACCTTTAAATACTTTTTTTAATCAAAAGACAATTTTTTGAAATCTTAGTCCTAAAAAATACATTTTTTTATGGATCAACAAAAGTGAATTTTATAAATTTTTTTTCCAAAGGACCAAAGGACTTTTATTTTTTTTTTTAATCAAAAATAATATTTTTTGAAATCTTAGCCCTGAAAAACATATTCTTCAAGGGACCAACAATAAAAGTGAATTTTATAATAATTTTTTCTAAAGGACCAAAGTTTAGGCTTTAAAAAAATAAAAACTTTTTTTCAAAAGTACCAAAGGACATTTAAATTATGTTTTTTATCAAAAAACAATTTTTTGAAGTCTTAGCCCTTAAAAATACTTTTTTTAAGGGATCAACGAAAGTGCATTTTTTAAACATTTTTTTCAAAGGACCATAGGGCTTTTATTTTTTTTTTTAATTTTTTAACAGTATTTTTTTTAAAATCTTAGCCCTTAAAAATATATTCCTCAATGGATCAACAAAAGTGCATTTTATAAATTTTTTTTAAAGGACCAACGTTTAGACTTTAAAAAAATAAAAACTTTTTTTCAAAAGGACCAAAGGACCTTTAAATTCTTTTTTTAATCAGAACACGACGTTTTGAACAAAAGGGAATTTTATAAAATTGTTTTCCAAAGGACTTTTAAAATATTTTTAATAAAAACATAATATTTTTTCAAAATCTTAGCCCTTAAAAATATATTCTTCAAGCGACCACCAAAAGTGAATTTTATAACAATTTTTTAAAGGACCAACGTTTAGACTTTAAAAAAAATATAAAGTTTTTTTCAAGAGTACCAAAGGACCTTTAATTTTTTTAATAAAAACATTTTTTTTTAAATATATTCTTAAAGTTATCAGCAACAGTAAATTTGATAAAACTTTTTTCCAAAGGACGAAAGGACTTTTAAATTTAAAAAAAAAAAATCAAAATCTTGGCCCTTAAAAATATGTTCTTCGAGGGACCAACAAAAGTGAATTTTATAATAATTTTTTTAAAGGACCAAGGTTTAGTCGTTAAAAGAATTAAAACTTTTTTTCAAGAGGACAAAAGGACTTTTAATTTTTTTTAATAAAAACACTTTTTTTTAAATCTCAGTCCTTAAAAATACATTCTTTAATTAATCAACAAAAGTGAATTTTATATAATTTTTTTCCAAAAGACCAAAGGACTTTTAATAATTTTTTTTTTTTTTTTTTTGTAAAAAAAATAATAGCAATATTTTTTTCAAAATCTTGGCCCTTAAAAATATATTCTTCAAGGGACCAACAAAAGTGAATTTTATAGCAATTTTTTTTTAAAGAACCAACGTTTAGACTTAGAAGAAAATTAATTTTTATTTTAAAATGATCAAAGGACTTTTATTTTTTTTAATAAAAACAATATTTTTTTCAAAATCTTAGCCCTTAAAAATATATTCCTCAATGGACCAACAAAAGTGCATTTTATATATTTTTTTTTAAAGGACCAACGTTTAGACTTTAAATTCTTTTTTTAATCAAAAGATAATTTTTTTAAATCTTAGTCCTTAAAAATATAAAAAGTGAATTTAATAATTTTTTTTTTTTCGAAAGGACGAAAGGATTTTTAATCTTTCTTAAAAAAATAAAATATATTTCCAAAATCTTCGCCATTAAAAAATATATTCTTCAAGGGAAAGAGCATTTATAACATTTTTTTTAAAGACCATCGTTTAGACTTTAAAAAAATAAAAACTTTTTTTCTAAAGGACCAAAAGACCTTTAATTTTTTCTTAATAAAAACATTTTTTTAAATCTCAGTTCTTAAAAATACATTCTTTAAGGAATCAAGAAAAATGAGTTCTATATAATTTTTTCCCAAAGGACAAAAGGACTTTTAATTTTTTTTTTAAATAAAAACAATATTTTTATTCAAAATCTTGGCGCTTATATAAAATTTATTCTTCAAGGAACCAACAAAAGTGAATTTTATAACAATTTTTTTAAAGGACTAATGTTTAGACATTAAAAAAATAAAAACTTTTTTTCAAAAGGATCAAAGGACCTTTATTTTTTTAATAAAAACAATAACAATATTTTTTCAAAATCTTAACCGTTAAAAATTTTTTTTCAAGGGACCAACAAAAGTGAATTTTATAGCAATTTTTTTTAAAGAACCAACGTTTAGACTTAGAAGAAAATTAATTTTTATTTTAAAAGGATCAAAGGACGTTTAATTTCTTTTTTTTTAATAAAAACAATTTTTTAAATCTTAGTCCATAAAAATACATTCTTTAAGGGATCACTAAAATTGAATTTTATAAATTTTTTTTCCAAAGGACGAAAGGACTTTTTATACCTTCTTAATAAAAACAATATTTTTTTTTTTTTCAAAATTATAACAATTTATAACAATTTTCTTTAAAGACCAACGCTTAGATTTTGAAAGAATAAAAACTTTTTTTTCTCCAAAAAGACCTTTAAATTCTTTTTTAATCAAAATACAATTTTTTGAAATCTTAGTCCTTAAAAATACATTCTTTAAGGGATCAAGTGAATTTTATAATTTTATAAGAGGACTTTTATTATTTTTTTTTCAAAAAAAATAAAAATTATATTTTTTTTTCAAAATCTTAGCCCTGAAAAATGTATTTTTCAAGGGACCAACTAAAGAGAATTTTATAAGAATTTTTTTAAAGGCCAAACGACCTTTAAATAATTTTGATTTAAACGTTGACTTAAAAAATACCTTTTTTTCAAGATTTTAATCCTCTAAAAAGTGAATTTTATAATTTTTTCCAAAGTACCAAAGTACTTTTAAATTAAAAAAAAAAAACTTTTTTTTCAAAATCTTAGCCCTTAAAAATACATTCTTCAAGGGACCACAAAAAATGAAGTTTATAAATTTTTTTTAAAGAAAAAAATTTTAAGGACCTTTAAAAAAATTTATTTAAACGTTTACTTAAAAATTAAATAAAAACGGGTTTTTTTCAAAATCTTAGTCCTTTAAAACTTTTTCTTCACAGGCTTTGAATGTGATTTTTTTATTTATCTATTTTTTTTTTTTTTTGAAATGGCCAAAGGACCTTAAATTTTTTTAAAACTGAATTTTTAAGTTTTCTTTTTTTTTTTAATTTTAGTCCTTTAAAACTTTTTCCTCGCAGACTAACAAATGTGATTTTTTTTAAATTTTGTTTTTATTATTATTATTATTATTATTATTATTATTATTATTTCTTTTTTTTTTTTTTTTTTTTTGAAATGGCCTTAAATTTTTATTAAACCTAATTTTTGAAATTTTCTTTTTATTTTTTATTTATTTTTTTATTTATTTATTTAATTTTTTTATTTTTTATTATATATAATTTTTAAAGGACCAAAGGACCTTTTGATATTTTTTTAGACCTGAATTTTTAAATTTTCTTTTTATTTTTTATTTATTTATTTATTTACTTTTTTTTGAAAGGATCAAAGGCCTTTTTGATATTTTTTAAACCTGGTTTTTTAAAAATATTTTTTCTTTTTCAAATAAAAGCAATATTTATTTTTTCCAAATCTCAAAGATTTTCCATTTCCAGTTATTCTCAATTAAAATTTCTCTCATCACCACACTGAAATGCCTCATTGAATGTGGCCAAACTTCGGGCAATTGTACGCAATCTCTTCTCATTGGCTTTAATACGCTTCGAATTTTCCGGCCTGGCCTTCACGCAGAATGTCTGGGCTAAATTGAGAAAAAACAATTGCTGCCATGGTGTGTTGGTAAAATTCGGCTGCAGGTTGGAGGAGTGATCCAGGCAATAGGTGTTGTAGGCCAAGGCAGCTGCACCCACATTTCGGGCACTTTCCGGATCGGTTTCGAATTGCCAAACATCTGGCAACTCGTGCATTATCTTCAGGCCATAATGTTCGATTTGGGGAAAATTGCGGGCCAATTGATAGCCCATGGAGGAGAGCTTGAATAACGGATCATAGGCCTTATCATACATGGGTGGTTGGAGCATAACAAACGGTATGGCCAACATGTTGCGAGAGATGTCGTATATGGGGGAGCTTAAATAGGTTTCGATGCCACGTATGATCATTACACTGTAAGGGTAGTTGTGTTTGTTGATGTCCCGGAGATAGCGATGCCGCAGCAGATGCAGATAGTTGCCATAGAAATTGTCCAAATCAAGGGCGGGAATGTCCGAGAATAACCTTTGCAGACGTTGGCGCATATGGCTGTTGGGTAAATTGCCCAGATTGAATGAGGTCGTGGAACAACTTCTGCCCGGATCTGGGCGAGGTCTTAGATCCTTGGCATAATTTTCCATGAAAATATGGCATAGCTTATGATAGATGGCCTTGATTTCGGCATTATTTGCCAGCTCCTCCGGCCGATAGTGGGCAAAGTACAGCAAATTGGTGGGCAATTCCAGTTTCGATCGCACCTCATCAATGCAATCCAATTTTTGATGTTGGCCCAAATTCTTGCCACTCCGCAGCAGATACATCAGCATGCGTATCATAATGTATGTGCAAATGGCCGGTTCTTGGTTGTCGAACCACTGCTGGCCAACGAGGAAATCGAAATAGTCCTCCTGGTCCATGGCGATTATTTTCAATTTTCGCAAATTAATTATTTCCAAATTATCCACAAATTTTTTCAATGGCGGGTAAGCCCTGCCCAGCTGCTGGTAGGTGAGATATTTATGCTTGGTCCTGTGCGAATCATTATCCAGGATCAGGATCCTTTGATTTTGAAGGATTTCAAAGAAGCTTTTGGTGAAAAGTGTTATTGCATAGGGGCTCAACTGGAATTTCGCCAATAAATTTGTAATTTCTTCCTCGGATATGTGCGGCACAAAGGGGGCCTTGAGGGTCAAGATGACAGAACCATCCGCATTAATGGCAACGCTGGAGCCAATGAACAGCTCATTGATGCCATAGTTGGCTAATTGACCCAAAAGCCGATAAACATCGAAATTTTCCCTACGCCAATCGTTGGGATTTCGATCCAACACCTCTTCCAGGACAGGCCATTGAAGATCCGGCCCAGGTTTCAGGATGTGCAGATAACTGGCAATGGCATCACTGTTTTTGGCCCTCAAACAGGACCGATAATAGTGGTAGGTTTTGTTGAAAAAATCCGTATTCAGAATCTCCTTCTCCTCCTCCCCCTCTTCTTCTTCGATGACATCCATTATGGAGATCAGTTTCAAATTCAGTTGATAGTTAAGGATATCCTCATAGTTTTGCTGGGCATGGGGCCAATTGTTACAGACATAGCCATAGAAATTGTCGCATGGATCCACGGTTGCATCCAGCGACTGTTTGATGTTTTGCAACTGGGCACAGGTTGGATTGTTGGATGTCTTAAAACTGCAGCGTTTTGCTTGGGTCAGTAGCAGAAAATTTAATATAAAAATTCCAATACCCAACGAATTGGAATCCGACATTTTTTATTAATTATTTATTATTTATTTTTATTTTATTTTTTTTATTTATTTATTATTAATTTTTTTATTTAAATTTTTATTTCGTTTTTTTTTTTTTTTTTTGAAGAAAAATCTGTTCTTTTCTTGGCGCGATATGAAATGAAACTGAAACTTGTTGCCTGTTTTTGCAAAGAAATCATTGCAACAAAAGACTTTTGTGTTTCTCTGATCGGAAAATCCCATCTTGGGTAGGGGACACTCAATAATAGCTGTGGCATACTATTCTTATCATTCAATGTGAAGAGAGGGAGAGATCGACATTTAGAAAAAAAAAAAAAAAAATAAATAAATGAATAAGAAAAACTGCAAAAAACACACTGAAGCTTAAAATTGGAAAAGAAGCTGAAGCAGAAGGTCTCGAAAATCCAAAAAGTTTCAAAAAAATGTTTTTTAGAAAGGCGTGCATTTTAGATTTCACCAAAAAACCAAGGAGGTCTCCAAAAATTTCCTTTAGAAAATCCATGGCTCAAATTTTTAAAAAAATTTCCTTTAGAAAATCCATGGCTCAAATTTTTACAAAAATCTCCAAAAATTTCCTTTAGAAAATCCACGCCTCAAATTTTGTACAAAAATTTCCTTTAGAAAATCCATGGCTCAAATTTTTAAAAAAATCTCCAAAAATTTCCTTTAGAAAATCCACGCCTCAAATTTTGTACAAAAGTCTCCAAAAATTTCCTTTAGAAAATCCACGCCTCAAATTTTGTACAAAAGTCTCCAAAAATTTCCTTTAGAAAATCCACGCCTTAGATGTCTACAAAAAGGTCTCCAAAAATTTCCTTTAGAAAATCCACGCCTTAGATGTCTACAAAAAGGTCTCCAAAAATTTCCTTTAGAAAATCCACGCCTTAGATGTCTACAAAAAGGTCTCCAAAAATTTCCTTTAGAAAATCCACGCCTCAAATTTTGTACAAAAGTCTCCAAAAATTTCCTTTAGAAAATCCACGCCTCAAATTTTGTACAAAAGTCTCCAAAAATTTCCTTTAGAAAATCCACGCCTCAAATTTTGTACAAAAGTCTCCAAAAATTTCCTTTAGAAAATCCACGCCTCAAATTTTGTACAAAAGTCTCCAAAAATTTCCTTTAGAAAATCCACGCCTCAAATTTTGTACAAAAGTCTCCAAAAATTTCCTTTAGAAAATCCACGCCTCAAATTTTGTACAAAAGTCTCCAAAAATTTCCTTTAGAAAATCCACGCCTCAAATTTTGTACAAAAGTCTCCAAAAATTTCCTTTAGAAAATCCACGCCTCAAATTTTGTACAAAAGTCTCCAAAAATTTCCTTTAGAAAATCCACGCCTCAAATTTTGTACAAAAGTCTCCAAAAATTTCCTTTAGAAAATCCACGCCTCAAATTTTGTACAAAAGTCTCCAAAAATTTCCTTTAGAAAATCCACGCCTCAAATTTTGTACAAAAGTCTCCAAAAATTTCCTTTAGAAAATCCACGCCTCAAATTTTGTACAAAAGTCTCCAAAAATTTCCTTTAGAAAATCCACGCCTCAAATTTTGTACAAAAGTCTCCAAAAATTTCCTTTAGAAAATCCACGCCTCAAATTTTGTACAAAAGTCTCCAAAAATTTCCTTTAGAAAATCCACGCCTCAAATTTTGTACAAAAGTCTCCAAAAATTTCCTTTAGAAAATCCACGCCTCAAATTTTGTACAAAAGTCTCCAAAAATTTCCTTTAGAAAATCCACGCCTCAAATTTTGTACAAAAGTCTCCAAAAATTTCCTTTAGAAAATCCACGCCTCAAATTTTGTACAAAAGTCTCCAAAAATTTCCTTTAGAAAATCCACGCCTCAAATTTTGTACAAAAGTCTCCAAAAATTTCCTTTAGAAAATCCACGCCTCAAATTTTGTACAAAAGTCTCCAAAAATTTCCTTTAGAAAATCCACGCCTCAAATTTTGTACAAAAGTCTCCAAAAATTTCCTTTAGAAAATCCACGCCTCAAATTTTGTACAAAAGTCTCCAAAAATTTCCTTTAGAAAATCCACGCCTCAAATTTTGTACAAAAGTCTCCAAAAATTTCCTTTAGAAAATCCACGCCTCAAATTTTGTACAAAAGTCTACAAAAATTTCCTTTAGAAAATCCACGCCTCAAATTTTGTACAAAAGTCTCCAAAAATTTCCTTTAGAAAATCCACGCCTCAAATTTTGTACAAAAGTCTCCAAAAATTTCCTTTAGAAAATCCACGCCTCAAATTTTGTACAAAAGTCTACAAAAATTTCCTTTAGAAAATCCACGCCTCAAATTTTGTACAAAAGTCTCCAAAAATTTCCTTTAGAAAATCCACGCCTCAAATTTTGTACAAAAGTCTCCAAAAATTTCCTTTAGAAAATCCACGCCTCAAATTTTGTACAAAAGTCTCCAAAACTGTCCTTTAGAAAATCCACGCCTCAAATTTTGTACAAAAGTCTCCAAAACTGTCCTTTAGAAAATCCACGCCTCAAATTTTGTACAAAAGTCTACAAAAATTTCCTTTAGAAAATCCACGCCTTAGATGTCTACAAAAGTCTCCAAAGATTTCCTTTAGAAAATCCACGCCTTAGATGTCTACAAAAGTCTCCAAAGATTTCCTTTAGAAAATCCACGCCTTAGATGTCTACAAAAGTCTCCAAAAATTTCCTTTGGAAAATCCACGCCTCAAATTTTGTACAAAAGTCTCCAAAAATTTCCTTTAGAAAATCCACGCCTCAAATTTTGTACAAAAGTCTCCAAAAATTTCCTTTAGAAAATCCACGCCTTAGATGTCTACAAAAGTCTCCAAAAATTTCCTTTAGAAAATCCACGCCTTAGATGTCTACAAAAGTCTCCAAAAATTTCCTTTAGAAAATCCACGCCTTAGATGTCTACAAAAGTCTCCAAAAATTTCCATTAGAAAATCCACGCCTTAGATGTCTACAAAAGTCTCCAAAAATTTCCTTTAGAAAATCCACGCCTTAGATGTCTACAAAAGTCTCCAAAAATTTCCTTTAGAAAATCCACGCCTTAGATGTCTACAAAAGTCTCCAAAAACTTCCTTTAGAAAATCCACGCCTTAGATGTCTACAAAAGTCTCCAAAAATTTCCTTTAGAAAATCCACGCCTTAGATGTCTACAAAAGTCTCCAAAAATTTCCTTTAGAAAATCCACGCCTTAGATGTCTACAAAAGTCTCCAAAAATTTCCTTTAGAAAATCCACGCCTTAGATGTCTACAAAAGTCTCCAAAAATTTCCTTTAGAAAATCCACGACTCAAATATTTACAAAAGTCTGCAAAAATTTCCTTTAGAAAATCCACGCCTCAAATTTGTACAAAAGCCTCCAAAAATTTCCTTTAGAAAATCCACGCCTCAAATTTGTACAAAAGTCTCCAAAAATTTCCTTTAAAAATCCACGACTTAGATGTCTACAAAAATGTCTCCAAAATATCCTTTAGAAATCCACGCCTTAGATGTCTAGAAAAAAAAATCCAACGAAGATAATTTTAAAAGTGATAAGCACAGTCTCCAAAATTACCTTAAATGTCTACAAAGAACCAAACAGGTCTCCAAAATTACCTTTAACAATCCACGCCTTAGAAGTCTACAAAAAAAACCAAAAAGGTCTTCAAAATTTCCTTTAGAAATCCACAGCTTAATGTCTACAAAAAAAAAAAAAAAAAAAAAAAAAACAGGAAAGGTCTCCAAAATGTCCCTTTAAAATCCTACGCCTTAGAAGTCTACAAAAATCCCAAAAAGATCTCCAAAATGTACCTTTAAAAACCCACGCCTAAGAAGTCTACAAAAATTCCAAAAAGATCTCCAAAATTACCTTTATAAAATCCACGCCTTAAATATCTCCAAAAAAATCCGAAAAAGGCTTTCAAAATTTAAGATTCCGCAAAAGATTTCCCCCGAGTTTCAAAGATTTCCCCCGAGATACACAAAGTCTCCAAAAATTCTTTTTAAAAATCCAAGCCTTAAATGTTTATAGGAAATTGGCTAAATTCGTCTTTAAAGATATCCCCAAGATCTCCAAACCCTTGTGGACAACTGTCCACAATAAAATTTCCCAAATCCCCACGTGAAGAGATTCCTAAGACCTCAAAAGTTCCCTTTAAAGAATCTCCTCCCCACATGTCTTCCGAAAAATGCTCAATATTTAATTTTAATGGGTACCACTGACCTCCAAAATAATTTGAAAAATTCCCCACCTCTGGTCTTTACAAGAAAAGGTCAATATATTCCCATTTATTGTTTCCCCCAAGACATTGAAGATTTTCCCAATAAATCTCAAGCCCCAAGTCTCCACAAACATTTCCCAAATTATTGCGTATCCTTGAAGTCTCCACTTCGTGAGCAGACATTTAAAAGCAAGCTTGAAAACCTCAAGGGATATCTATTTGCTTCCTTAATAAAAAGAGACTTCTTGTTTCATTGAAATCCCCTTGACGCCTAAAAGTATGCTTTAGATAATAACACAAGTTCCCCTTTAGCAAAGAGTGCAAGAAAACTTTCAGTTACCACAGCAATTCTTTCAAAATTTTAAGATTTTCTTTGATTTATCAATCAAAAGAATTGATTTAAATTATTAAATATAATTGTTAATTGTACTTTCAATACATTTAGTTTCATAAAATCAACAAATTAATTTATTAACAATATTTAATACCCCTAACAAATTCAAAGAGATTTTCAAGGATTCTCAAATGGCTTCCAACATTTATTAGATGTATTTTAATAGATTTTCCAGTGACTCATAACAGCTACTATTCAATGTGCAGTTTTTAAAGTAATTTTCAACAACTTCTAGCAGGCTTTATATGTGGACTCTCAACATGATTTCGAAGTGGATTTTTAAAGGCATTTCCAAGGATTCCTTAAAGCAATGCCTAAAACAAAAAATTCGTCAAAAACGTAAATTTTTCTGAAAGTCCTCTCAATAGGTACTTTTAAGAAATTTTCATGAACCCCCTAACGGAATACAAACGTGGATATTTTATGGAATTTTTCAGGACATCTA